GATGCTAAGAAGATTAACATGTGAGGCCTGGAGACATAGCTCACTGAGAAGCACATGCTTGGAGGCTTTTGGCTGAGCCCCAGCATTGAGGGAAAAGGAGCCTGATATTTAGAACACAAGTGTCATCTAAAAACTTGCACTTGTTAATACGAATTATTTTCCACAGGCAATGGAAATTCCTAGAATGAAAAGCATGACCACCGTGGAGGGCTTAGTTTCAACTGAAGTTTTGCACTAAAATCCCAAAGAAAGTAGGAGGACAAGCTAATGTCAATGTTCTTAGGTGTCTGTGTGAAGTAACAGTAGGAAACTTTCAAGTGGTAGGATAGGGAGATGGACACCTGTGGATATTTATCTGTCTATTAACCACCTGTTTATCAGTTATTTATTAATCTTCTATTAATCTTTTTATTATCTGGCAATCGCTATCATTCATTTATCATTTTATTTATTTATTGTTTTGGTTTTTTGAGACAGGGTTTCTTTGTGTAACCCTGGCCATCCTGGAACTTGCTTTCCAGACCAGGCTGGCCTTGAACTCAGAGATCCACTTGCCTCTGCCTGTGCACCACCACCGCCCGGCTCATTTTATTTATTGTATTATTCATTTATTATTTAGCTATTATTCATTTGCTAATTGATTCGTTCATCCATCTATCTATCTGTTTGTCCATGATCATGAATAGTCTATCATCTGTCTACCTATCATTTATCTGTTTATCAGTGTTTATCTGTCTTCAGAGAGACAAAGAATGTGACAAAATATTGAGCTGTTTTGACTCTGGGTAAAGAGGACACCAGTGTTTTCAGCACTGTTTGAATTATTTCTATTTATTTTCTAACTCGGAAGGCAAGCAAGCGCTGGCAGAGGACACCCTGGTAGCCTAGGGAATCATGGTTTCGGGCAGGAGTCTCTGTTAAAACAGAAAGTACCAAATTCTAAAATGCTTTTATTTCTTAAGTGAAGTGTTCAGTCTGATGTTTTTTTTTTTTTTTTTTTTTTTTTTTTTTTTTTTTTTTTTTAAAGGAAGGGTTTGTGTTGTTTTTTTTTTTTTTGAATAGTGGAACTCAAGGAAAATAAAGCAAAACAGAAACTTCCCTGACCAGGAATCGAACCCGGGCCGCGGCGGTGAGAGCGCCGAATCCTAACCACTAGACCACCAGGGAAGAGATACCTTGCTTCCTTTCTAGCGACTCTAGACTAGATGACGACAGGATGTTAGGCAACTACAGCTATGCCCGGGAACTCGCAACTAGGCAACCTGGCGACTCGCCGTTCTGGAGGACCCGACAACACCACCAGGTGAAAGAAATCTTGCATGGGAGGGATAGTCTCCTAAACGGAGGAAAATAAAAATAACACGTAAAAAGTTACATGTGTCAGAAGTGGGATTCGAACCCACGCCTCCATTCGGAGACCAGAACGCCCGTAGGGGAAGACTTACGC